AGCTTCGTCGTGTTTCTCGCCCTAGAATTCTCGCCGGCCTAGTAGTATTGGGGTTTTAAGAAATTGGTTTTGGTAGGGAATGGTTGAAAGAAAAGTGGGTTCGAGATTTGGGGGATTGAGAACGTGATTTTAGCGATGCGTGATTTTAAGTCTTTTATTTATTAGTTTAATTCGTATTATTAGAGGGTTATTACTGGTATATGGAAAATTGTGGATCTACTACTAATATTGAAAAGGTAGGTAGATCCACCCTTATTAAAAAAATACTAGAGGGGGTTATGGCTAATAGTCCCTATATTTAAAGATATTATATTGCATGAATCTAAGATTCTTTTATTCTTAAATTATGAAATTCAGAAAACAAGATTCTATCATATTAGTTTAATTTCTATCTCTAAAATTTAATATTTAATTGGAACTAAGCAAAATTCTGAAAACACAACGAGAGGCCACGTCGTTTGGCGGATGAATGTGGACCATTTATCAATTCACCACAAACAAATATAATCGAATACGCTTTGCCCCCATAGTGATTTCCACCATGATATATATTTCAAGAGTCAAACCCATGACCTCCCATGCATATTCACAGATGTTTACCGCTATGGGTCCGCTAGCTTAACGGGCCGTTGAGTTATCATGTTTTACATTTCTCCATCAATCCTTGTCGGGCCAAAGGATGGGGGCCCTGTGGGTGAGGGATTTCGTCTTTTTTGTGCAAGATCTTTACCGCTACACCAAACATTATTTCGAGATTTAAGGTGGTCCATGGCATACATGCCCACCCCTTAAATCCGCCCCTGGGTTTAAGTGCTATTGCACAATAAATATTTACCTAATGCAAATATGATTGAGTGCGAGTTTCTTTATTATAAAAAAAACTAATATCAATATCGTCCTCCCTGCTTCGTAAGAGAAGAGAAAAATATATTTATAGATATACTATATTGAATGTCGAACATCTCAATCAAAAGCTTAAGCTTTGTATTCGTGTTGTGTAAAAATATAGTTTCTCATTGTTGAGTGTAAATTTTACGCTTAATAAGCTTACTTTATGTGGATCTTTTGTTTAGATTTAATTATATTTGTTCTTTAATTGATTGATTTTGTGTTTTATAGGTGAAAAACAAGAATTAGGTGTCCATGAAGGAAAATAGATCAAAATGAGAGGAAAAAGTTGCAAATAAGGAAATAAATCAAATTGGAAGAAGGCACAGCCTTGGCAGTGTCCACCATTTCGAGCATATATCTCTCATACGAACTCCAAATCAGCTGATTTTGGCGGCATTAGAAAGCTAATTTCAAGGGCTACAATTCTTATTTACACAGAATTCCAAAATTCGGACTCTAACATGGCGAAAATCTAAGAACAAGTCATGATGGGGGAAAGTGGAGGAAATTGATTCCTATTAGGTTTCCACTACTTCCTTATCAAGAAAAGCCTATAAAAGCAACAAGTCTCTACACCATAGCCACAGAATTTTACACCACAAAATGCGAGGAACGAAGATCAACGAAGACTCAAGCATAGTTTTTCTTATTTAATTTCTTTATTACCTAAGTCTGCTTGAGTTAAAGCATATGTGTGCCATTGTCATGAAAACAGAAGTGGCGGAGCATCGGCGGAAAACTCGTAAGGGTATCAGGGAGACCATAGCTCGGTTGAAAGTGAGCAATCATTTTCAAAAACCAATCATCAATAGGTAAAGGTTTCCCCTTCTTTCTCTCGGGTAAAGTAGCAACCCAAGAACATAGATAAGGGGTATCGACGGGGTTCTTAGCAAAGAAGTAATGGCCTTGCCACCCGTCTGTTTTATTGGGTGGCATTAGCACTTTGAAGCCCGGTCGAGCAGAAATCGAGATATGGAAAGGACTGGAGTTTTTCAACACCATGACACTTCGAAACCGAGCCGGCGTAGGAATCACCCCGGACCAAGCATAGAGCATGCGAAACCCAGTCATGATGATTATAGCATGAGGGTGAAATTGGTTAAGGGACACATTGCATATTTGGGCAATCTCGGAAAACCAGGGTGAGATGGGAAAAGATAGGCCAAAGTAAAATTGTTCTGAAAACCAAGTACTAAAGCCCGGGGGAAAATTCAGCGGGCGCTCGTCCTGAGAAGGGAGGACTAGCTCGACGTCAGCGGGAAGACCTATGTCACGAGTTAAGTTAATCAAATCTATCTCAATCAGAGTACTCGGCCCCCACTGATCATCCGGATCTCGCCCCTCGGACAGTGAATGAGAACCACTCCTCACCAAGGACGGAATATCATCCCTAACCCTCTTTTTGGAACCCCTCAAAGGCTTACCCGAAGGGGAGAAAAAAGGTCCTTCCTCTGAAGAGGAAGGAATAGGCATAACTTCATTAGAAGAAATGGTAAAGGCTGGATTCTCATCCCCCTCCCCGGAAGAGTGATCGGAAGGTATTTTTTGACCAAAAGGATCAGGGGAAAAGGAAGACATGTATGTAGGAATGGCAAGAAAAGATAGAATTTGTGAGAAAAAAAAAAAAAAGAGAAGAAGTACCTTCGGTGGGAAGAAAGGCGGACATGGGGGAAGCAAGGACTCTTTTTCAAAAAGCAGGTCGTCGGAAAATTACCAAGGGGGAAAGCACGAATGTAGGAAGGGAGAAAATTTTTGAAACTTTGCAGAGAGTGAATATGTATAGGTAGGGAACAAACGAGAAAAGCAATCTTGACCGCTCATATGAACGAGCAAGATTCAAAAAGGGACACCTCGAGTTGAGCAAAAAGGCACTCGTTGAAATCTCGCAGTAATGACCTAGGGAACTCGAACCGCCTACGCCTAATGTCAGAGTCATTAATGAAAAGGAAGCACGCGTATATCCGCCGAAAGTAGAGGAGGCGCAAGTTAGTATCTCGTACTCCATACTTATAAAACGAGAAGGGAGTAGCGAACTCGTATTATATTTATGGAGTAGGGGGGAGTAGTTGATACGGGCCATTCTGACCGAAGCAAATAAGTACGAACTAGGAAGAGCCGACTCACCGCAATGAGAAAAAATACCGAATTATAACCCATGATAGCGATCTAAGATCTCGGAAAACCGTGACTCGCAACCAATGTTGAGAGTAACCGAAGTACCATATCGGAGAAAGAAGAGGTGCACGAACCCAAAACATGCCCAAATTGTAAAGGCCCAAGAAACATAACTTGAGGATGGAAAAACCCTAAAAAGGAAAATCTTGGAGGCCAGGAAAGAGACATCTATAAATAGAGGGAACCCCTCTCCAAAAAAACGATCATCTTTTGGCATATACTCTTTTGCATAATATTAACAACAATATCTTAAAAGCACATAAAACTGACTTGATCGTCGGAGCTTTCCCGCCGGGATCACCTCCCGGTGTAGCATGTACTCTCATCAGAAGACTCTTTCATGTCTTCAAGAAGCAGGAAGCCCCACGGATCAAATCAGTCATTGACAACTTTGTTATTAACGGAGGGTGGAGTAATCGAGGAAAGCTTTGGAGCTCCTCGAAGAGCTCAGCTCGTTGGAGGTCTCCTGCTCATCGGAAAGCTCAACTCCTAGATCTCAAACTCGTCGGATGTATGCTTCTCGTCGGGGAGATCTCTCTCTTCGGAGGTAAGCTGCTCGTCAGAGGAATATTAAGGATTTTGCATTTTCTTGATTTTGGGAGTCTGAATACTTTTGGGGTGGAAGTTTGGTTGATCGGAACAATCATGGTTCGCCGGAACGACGTCGGAACAGCCGTTCCGGAATGGGAACGGTGCCCTCCGTTCCGGAATCCGTAACCAGAACGGTTTTTTACCGTTACTCATTGGAACGCCGAGAAATCGGTGGGATCGACGAGTTGGAGCCACAGAACGGCCCCGACGCGGCCGGAACGACTCCGGAACAGGAAAAAAAAAATTTAAAAAACAAAACAAATTTGACTAAAAAAATAAGGAAACAAAAACATAAAAGAAAAAGAAGAAATAATATGATGGTGGTGGCCACGTTAGAGAATGGAGATTCCCCTGAATCAGAGGATCTTTGGCCTCACTCTTCAATTATATCTTACACAATTTCAACTCGGTATTCTATTTGGTATTAATATAGCTTGTATTTTTATAATATTCTTTGTAATATTTATTTTTGAAATTGTAATAATATTTTGCATATTATTAAATTGTAATAATATTATTAAAAACATATTTGAAATATATTGTATTTTTTTAACAATTTAATTAAAATATTTCCGTTCCGGCCGCGACGCAGCCGCGACGTTACAACGGAACTGAAACGGCAGCGTCCGCGACAATGCATCGTTCTGTTCCGGCGAACCATGGGAACAATGGTGGTGAGATGAAGACTCAAAGCAGCCACTATATTCACTACTACATTTATTGTACTGTTTTACCTCAAAATTATCCAAACACAAAAAAGAAAAAAAAAAAAAAAAAAAAGTGCGAGGTCTACTTTTTTAGTCCTAAACTTTACCCCAATTCCATTTATGGTCTCCATGTTCTAAGATGAACAAATTTTGCTCTCAATTTACTAATTTGTGACATAGTGTGTGGCGCATGTGATCATTGTTTCAAAATCGTGTTTTTTTTTGGAAATTAGATTTATTTTATAAAAGATTTTTTTTTATTAAAGATATTTGTGATATTTTGTGTATAATAAGTATTTAAATTTATAAATAAAGTGATGAAATGAGAAGATTTGAGGGTGAAAATACCAATATTCTAAAGTAATCAATCATAGTGGGATTGGGGATATTTTTCTCAATACGAGGATTTGTGTTATTTCTCTCCCACGGTCATTTTAAAAATTTAGTAATTTTATATTAATAGTATTGATTTTTATTATGATAAATCATATACATTTTAACTAAATATAAATAAGTAATCTGAAATTTATGTTTTTAATCTTTATCTGCAATTTTTATATAATTATAATATTTTATGTTTTTGTATATATTATTTATATTTATATTAAAAAAAAAAAAAACAAATTGAAAAGCTGTTTAGCCCGGGCTGTTTCGCTCGTAAATAACTAAAAAAACACAGTTATAAAACCAATTTAACAGAAACCGGGATTCTAACAACATGCTTCGTCGAAACCCAGGAAATGGAACCTTGGACATAAGAACCGTTTGTAGTAAACTCCGTTCTGCTAAAGTAAACCTCGTACGTGAGCTGCTGCTTCACCTCGGTGAAGCTAAGTACTGTAGGCTCCACAAATATACTAACCCCCGGAAAACATTCTATCTTTGCATAGTAAGTCGATTCTGCCTCTCCAACGTTCGTCACTGTCCGTGAATATGCGTAGCCAATATCTTGTCCAAGAACAACGGAAAACGAGGGATAATTCAGCTGTGCTTCCGGCACACCCGAGTACTCGGATTTACTACTGCAGTCAATCTTTCGGTTCACTATGGCCGCAACTTGTCGCTCTGTGTAGAGAAAACATAAGTAGGAAATATAATCGCGGGCGGAAATATCGTAAACGAGGCCCGGATTCAACGCCGCGGGCGGGTTCACGTGTCCTGCCCCAACGGCAAACACGTCGGCGGGCTGATGCCGTTGGTCAAGAATCGGAATATTGCCGAGGTTTGTCTGAGTGCTGGACGTCATTATGGCCGACTTGACCATCGCAGGGGACCAATCGGGATGTGCGCTCTTTACAAGTGCCGCGACCCCACTCAGGTGCGGGCACGACATTGAAGTGCCTGAAACCATGTTGTAAGTCGCCGTCTTTTCTTTGATGTTGTTGTCGATGGATACAGGCCAAGCCGCGAGAATGTTGGCGCCGGGGCCTATAATGTCGGGTTTAATAATTCCAGGGCTTACCAAATTGGGGCCTCTAGAGGAGAACGGTGTAACCATTGGAGCAGTTTTGTCTCCTATAACTGTGCCTCCGAACAAGATAGCTGAAGTAGGCGTCGAAGAATTAGCGTCTTCTATGTATGCTTTGATCTTTAGGGCGGCCTCGTAATTGACGAGCGTTGCAGGGAGTACGTGCGGTATGGGTTCGGTGTAATAGTCGTCGGTCTCGTCGTTTATCCCAATCATGGCGGCACCACCGGCATCCTTCACGTCTTGTCCATTATTGAACGTGCCAATCTCACACAAGACTACTTTCCCCTTCACGCCGATTTCGCCCAACAATTCGGACCCGCACAGCGCACCGTACACGAGGGGCAACAATTCTTCGGAGGAGCTGCCGCCTTCTTCCGGCTGGTAAAATGATTCGCCTTCGTAAGCCTCTCCGTTTCCGAGCAGTGCGGTTGCTTTTATCTTCCTGTCGGTAGTGCTGGCACCAACAGTGAGAATCCACGGCGCGGTGTTGTACAACGACGAATGGCTAGGGCCGTCGTTTCCAGCCGAGCAGGTGACGAAAATGCCCCTCTTAACGGCGCTGAATGCTCCTATAGCAACGACGTCTTCGTGGAACGGGCTAGTATGAGATACACTATCTCCTGCGAGAGAGAGTGAAAGCACGTCGACTCCGTCCTCGATAGCCGCATCCATTCCTGCCAATAAGTCACTGTCGAAGAGGACATCGGTCCCATTTTCGTGCGAACCAACTTTGTAGATCGCAAGGTGGGCGAGGGGGGCGATGCCGGAAGCCGTCCCGTTGGCCTGGCCGAACACGTTAGCGCCGGAGACGAAGTTTCCGGCAGCCGTGCTGGCCGTGTGGGTCCCGTGCCCAAAGTTGTCGATAGGCGGGCCTGGGAAATAGCTGGCGAAATTTCTCGCACCGATGAGCTTATTATTACACGATAGAGTTCCGCTCAATTCGCATTTTCCTTTCCATTTGGGAGGCGGGGGTGGCATTCCTTGGTCGTTGAAAGAGGGGTGGCCCGGTGTGATTCCGGTGTCTATCACACCGATAATCACACCATTGCCGTAGTTTGATGCCGGCCATGCTCCGACACCCTGGTGCAACCCCAAGAAGTTTGGACTGTGGGTTGTGTGTAGTTGGTACTTCTTATGCGGCCTAGCGTGCATGAATCCCGGTTTCTTCTCCATTTCTTTCACCTCTTCTGGCGATAATTTCGCTGCGAATCCTGTGATCACATTGCGGTACATGTGAACTATGCGAGACGAGGGCGTGTAATGATTATCCGAATCCGATGTGGCGGCTTCTGATGATGGCGGCAGGAATGAGTGGTACCATGTTTCGAGATTTGATTGTCCTGAAAATCCGTCTTCTTCGGTCGGCGGCAAGTCGACATGGACAATGTAAGTTTGGTAGCTGGTATTTGAAGAAGAAGCTGAATGGAAAGTGAAGATGAAAATGGCTGCAAGAAGGAACATGGTAGCCATTGTTTTAAGCTTGCTTCTCTATGTTTGAATGATGGTTATTGTATACATCCTTGACTACTTATAGAGTGTATCAAATGTATAGATACATAGCCTCATGAGAAACAGACAACATATTTTAATTTGGCTTGATCGATCGGCTGATTATTGGTACAAATTTAAATGCAACACGCCATCTCTGAAATTATTATTGTAAACAAATTTCTTAATCCGAACCAAATTATTATTGTAAATTTGTTAATGTAATGTTCATGCACTGATTAAAATAGCAGTCTGATCATTTATATTTTTTTTGTAATAAATTACAAAATGCCACCTCCTAAATTATTATAACCAAAATAGCAATCTCATCATTTATATATTTTTTTGTAATAAAACACAAAATGCCATCTCAATATTATTGTAAACAAATTAGCATGAAATTATTATAAGGTAGAACTTCCTTCTCCAATCTCACTAAATAACACAAATTCCCTATATTACAAGAGTTTTAATTTGTAAATGGATTGGCTGGTTCTTAGGAATAGGAGGATTTCAGTCATCCCGTGAACGGATATTCCATGGTTATTAATTTAGTTCAACCTCTTTTTTTATAAATATATATATGTAACCATGGCATACTCTTAACTCTAATAAATACGTAAATAAAAATAAAAATATTGGAAATATAAACGCATATTTTGCGTTCCCTTCCCTATTCGAATATTCTAGAGAAATCGATGCGAAGATGATATTTTGGTAATTCAATTGTAGGAATTTCTCCCAAGCAAGGTCTGAAATAAATGGCGACGAATGTTAAACAAAGGGGTATTATTGCAATATAAATATTCAAGGACTGTCACCAAATTGATAATATATGGGTGTCCTGATCTAATACAAAAACTTTAAAATATAAGTTCTGGTCCCCAATTTTTTTTGTAATTTGACCCTACAATTTTTAATTTTTCACATGTAAATTTATATATTTTTTACTTTTCCAAATAATACGTATAAATATTACATTTTTTATTAATTACTCAAAACATATTCTATGGCGATGTCCCCGAACCCTCAAGAATTATAACTTTTCTCACCGTTATACTATTTCATAAATCACCCCCCAACACACACACTTCAAATAAATTAGTGATATGATTTAGCATTATGTTAATGCATGTCGATTTTCTTTTTTGCATAAATCCCTCTTATGTTGCAAAAACCATGCACCTAATCCTCCTATGCTACAAAAATCTTGCACAAAATCTCTTCATTAGTTAACGGTATATTTTGACGGAAATGGGATTTGATGCAAGGTAAAATGAAACACCGGGCGATTCCAAGCAATAAAACAAAAACAAGGGGATTATTTGCATGTTTTGCTTCATGCGGAGGGGGGGGGGGTTTATGATATTTCGAATAGACATAAATAACAATTGTTCCACTGAAATCATTAATTATCCATACAAAGTGCAGCATTTGCTAGAATACACAACCTAGATGCAATAGGCGTTAAAAACCACTCAGGTTAAATTAGCGACACGGCTTGTGGAAAATCCTCTACCTCCAGGCTTCTCATTCAGTCCTCAGAACACTATTTACCTATCTACAACAAATGGTTTACTTATCAGTTGAAGAATCTGATGATGCTTGCAATAATGATGTGGCTATAATCCAACTAATATAGTGGTTTATGGTGAGTATCTCAAAACACAACCTACTTTGCACCTAACAATATATGTTTATCATAATTAAATTGAGGCAAGAAACAACTTGTTATTTCCCGACAAATTATAGTTTACTATGTATGTGCTAGGCTTCATCATTTGTTATTATATATACTGTATTGTTGATGATGTATCTCTACTTTTATTTGCTTTACACGTAGAATCTATTTGAGTAGATTTTTTTGTTTTTTTTTTACTACAAACTCTTTTAATTTGTTTGGTAATTTATAAAACTTTTTATTGTTGTATTTTCTATGCTAGCTGCCCCCCCCCCCCCCCCCCACCCCCACCCCAAGAAAACAAATTGGTAAATTTGAAGTAATATATTGGTCCCCAATTGTTTTTGTACTCTGACCCTTCAATTTTTTAAATTTTCTCCCAAATTTATAGTTTTTTATATTTATTATATCAATATAAAATATTATGGTTAAAATATCTACTTTTGAAAATAATACTTATAAATTTTTTTTTTATTAATTACCCTAAACAAATTCTAAGGCGATACCCCCGAACCCTCAAGAATTTTAATTTTTTCCACCATAATATTATTTCATAAAAAACAGTCAAAAAAATTTTATTGGTTTCGTCCATGATGATAAAGGTTGTTTTAATGCCAATTTGGCTTCAATCGTGATTTTGACCATTTATTTTTTAAATTTGGCGAAAGCTCAAAACACCGTATTTGTATTGGAAATTGTGTAGTCACGCTATATGATGCTAGGGTTTGCTAGTTATCGATTGTGCATATCGTCCGACAAAAATCAGTTTCGATAACTGCCATTTCGGAACCGAATGCTTTCAGAGAGTAACTAAAGTGAAATCAAGAATGGTGATGCAAATATTGAAGCTTGGATATAATGTTTTTTTGAGTGATGTTGACGTATATTGGTTCAAGAATCCATTGCCCTATCTTACTTATTTCGGTCCCTCGGTTCTTGTGGCACAATCCGATGAATACAATTCGACGGGTATTTTAATAAATTATTTTCGAGATAAATTCATGTGATATTTATATATGTACGCTTTAGAAATAACTGCAATCTTTTTATTTTTATTTGTTTATTCGGAGGACCAATAAACATACATCGACGATTTAACTCCGACTTCTAATATACTCATACAGACAACATAACGATCGCAATATTTGATAAGGTGGTCGAGCATGCAACTAATTCCAACTTCTACGAACAACCGAGTTTTTTACGATATTTTGTGCGGCGAAGGTGGGTCCTACATATTAGGTGATAATCAATGCTTAGAACCCGAAATAAAGTTGTTGGTTTATTTCTTAAATAGAGATCTCTTGCCAAACGGTGCATATCGAGGTTCGTGGGAGGAGATAGATACAAACAAAGCCTGTATCAAAATAAATTGTTTTATTCTCCATAATAATTGGATTAACGGAAGAAAGAAGAAGCTCCAAAGACAAGTTTTATCTGGCCTCTGGGATTATGATATCAATACAAGAATGTGCTTGTAGAGCTACTGGAACAGTAAATAAATAAGCTAGATTCATTAATCAAGTTCAAAGTATTGAAGGTTCTAGAATTCATGAATGTGGAAGAATACATGAATGTGTCTTTTGAAGAGATTCATGTATAATGCTATGGAGGAAGAATATTATTAATTATGTGTTCATGAATTTGCTTAGATACATGCTAGGAAAATCCTATAAATAGTCTATGTAGTTTTTCATTTGGAGTATGTCAAAAACAAGAAGAAGTATTCTAGAGAGAATCAAAAGAGAGTTCTCGAGTGAGTTTATATATTTGTGTTGATTGAGTGAGTAATATAATTTTATCTCCTCTTCACTACTCCTCCTCTCTATTTTAAGTTATTCCGCTGCGTGTTTTCGATCTATATTATTAAATCGATCCAACAAGTTTTAATACCAAAAAAAAAAATGAAAAAAATCTGTCATTTGCAACATTGTTATTAAGAAAGGGTGGAGAAATCGATGAAATCCTTATTATAAGGTAGAACATGCTTCTCCAATCTCACTAAACAACACAAATTCCGTATATTTACAAGAGTTTTAATTCGTTAGCGGATTGGCTGGTTCATAGGATAGTAAGATTTCAGTCATCTCGTGAACGAATATTCCATGGTTATTAATTTTTAGTGAGAAATACCAGAGTAGTCATACATAGATATTTGCAGTCATATGTAGTTACATTTAGTAAAATATAGACTTGTATTACACTGTGGTCATTTGTAATCGACTTTAATTAATTCGTCTCTAGTTCTTCAACTCAATTGATATGTTGTTTCAATTGGCTAGATTTTTTAATCAGTTTCGTGTTTGATCGAGTTCTTTATTAGTGTGTGTGTGTGTGTGTGTGTGTGTGTGTGTGTGTGTGTGTGTGTGTGTGCATTTTTTAGTTTATTGCATAATATCCTAATTTGGAAATTTTGCCTGCTATTTGAATGACATGCCTGCCGTAATTAAATGACATTTTGTATGCTTGGCGAATCTTTTAGGTTCAAATTTTATGACTTACATCTTGAAATTTATGAATTCTGATTTTTACTATAGTAAAATGTAGTCATGTATGAGTTATGTGAGGAGTATATGCTAGTGATGTGTATGTATCTCAGTAGGGTGATAGTGTGTGTGTGTGTTTGTGTGTGCCGATTCAAATTTGAAGCAAAATTCGTTGTTTGCTTAACTCTTTTTCTTTTTCACAGGTCTTTGTGTTTGAACTACTACAAGTTTTTGCCTAGTGGACTTTGTGTTCGTCGTTCAAAACAAGCGATTCTGGTGTTGAAAAGTGGGATTTGAGTCAACTTTAGTCGTATATATATAACTATAGATAACTACAGTGACAAGTCTTGGTGTTCGAACAACTTATATGCACTAAGTTTTTGTCGAGAGGACATGGTGTTCGTCAAGTCAATACATTTTATTGCAACCGATAAATCGGAGTTGTTGTCGTGTTGAAAAGTGAGATTTGAAGCTATAAATACAGACTACACTATATATGATTATACTCATATAATCACGTGTTGTCATATATAGTCACGTGTAGTAACATATAGTAATATATAGTTATATATAAGCTATGTGATTACTCTAATGTATAGTCATATATAGTACAATAAATTGTGAAATTTCATTGTTGATCTATAATATCAAGATACAAATTTGTGAATTTTGGGGTAAAGAACCACTACTTGACTATGTTTATACATGACTATATAACTTGTAGTATACTATAGTCATGTATAGTCATTTCAGTACAGTAAATTTTGTCCATACATACACACACACACACACACACACACACACACATATATATATATATATATAATAAAACAAATTAGAACAAATCAAAAGTTAAAAAAAGCTATTTTATAAAAAATACAATAATAATTCAACAACAGAAAAATATAACAAAAATAATTTTATTAAAATTAAAAATCAGCAAAATGATAAATGCAGGTCGAAAAATATAAAATGCAGTTGGTGGACTTAATGCAGTTGGACGAAAATTTCACATAAGGGCACAATAGTACTTCTGCCTCTCCAGGGGTATCTCTAAGAAAGAATTTTAGGGGTGGACATATCCTTATATATTTTCCATAGTAAAGGTGTATATCAAATGACCCCTTGATTATATATAGAGAAATATAACAAGGTAATAGATCACTATACTAAGTAATTGAATCATAACTAATCTCGGTAACATAATCATACTAATCTAAGTAAAATAATTATAGTAGAATCCTAATATTACAAGAGTTCTATAATATAATATATATACTCTAACACACCCCCGCAGTCGAAATGTAAAGAACGTGAAAACTGGACGATCACTTGCTAACACATTCTTATACA